AGGATCATTTGTCTATCTATGTCCAATGTGGCCAGATGCCGTGAAGATTGGTCTTTACAGTGGGGGGGGGGGGGGGGGGGTGAAGAAATACGGATGAGTTAACTTGTACTTTTCTACCTTGCCTTTGAGCTCATTTCGAGCGGACATAAGTTTCCTACCTGTGTGGAATGTAAAGTTTTACAAATTCCCTTCCTTACGTAGATAATATATGCCACTACTACTACTACTACTACTACTACTACTACTACTACTACTACTACTACTACTACTACTACGACTACTACGACTACTACTACGACTTCCATTACTATTACTACTACTACTACTACTACTACTACTACTACTACTACTACTACTACTACTACTACTACTACTACTACTACTACTACTACTACTACTACTACTACTACTAACTACTACTACTAACTACTACTACTACTACGACTACTACGACTACTACGACTACTACTACTACTACTACTACTACTACTACTACTACTACTACTGCTGCTGCTGCTGCTGCTGAAGCTGCTGCTGTTGCTTCTGCTGCTTCTGCTGCTGCTGCTGCTGCGCTACTACAACTAGTACTATTAATTACTTTTACATTAATATTAATGGTTTTATATAATAAATGATTTGACTACTTACTATTTTATATTCATACCACTTCTGGCCATAGCCTTCAATTTTCCCAATTTGGTTTTATCGCACCTTTTGACACTATGACGTGTATGCGCGCATTTTATTTTGCTATAGCTTGTAGTCAATAGATTTTCCATTATATTTTTGTATCGTGTTCCTGACGAATAAAAGCCCTTTACAGGGCAAAAAGTTGAACCTGTATTAAATTTGAAAAATCTACTAAGTCTCAACCCTTTTTTTTTATTCCCTGCTACCAACAATGATGATGATGATGATGATGAGGATGATGATGATGAGGATGATGAGGATGATATTATCATCTACCTGAAAAAGCCAAAAAGATGGAAACGTCGAACATTATTTACTATGTTACAAAACTTCAAATGCTAAAATCTCCAACTTTTTCTTCTTATCGTACTTACAACAATGGTGATGATGATGATGATGATGATGATGATGATGATGATGATGATGATGATGATGATGATGATGATGATGATGATGATGATGATGGTTTTAAAAATAATAATAAAAACAACGACAGGACACAGAAAGTGAAAGGGCATACCGTGATCCCAATGGACAAAGTCTGAAGATGTAGACTCTGCGGAAAACTTGGCGCTTCTGTCGCACACTCAAGAATAGACGTATGTAAACGAAGACTTCAGTTTTAAACAGTTGATTGAGAATCCACCCCGGAAAGTTAAAGACCTTAATTAAGGACAGATGTACAACAACAAAAAGCAGGGCACAATGGAAAGAAATGCTCTAGAAGACGTTGAATCCTTCAGCTATCTTAGCAGAGAGGGAGGAACAGGAAGAACATGTGCTGAAATAAATTCATGCATTGGAAAGGCACAGGCTGCTTACATATCTTTGCTTTGAATAGGATTTAGATGACCAGGGTTATCTCACTTCGAACAAAGTTGAGGATTTTCAATTCATCCTGTGAGCTCAGTGTGCTGTGTGGATGTGAGACATGAAACTGACCTCAGACTTGCACAAAGGGAATTAAGGTTTTCTTGAAAACGTGTTTAAGGAAGTTACTGAAAATAATAATAATAATACTAATACTAATAATAATAATAATAATAATAATAATAATAATAATAATAATAATAATAATAATAATAATAATAGTAGACGAACAGTGACAAAAAATTAATAATGATGGTAATGAATAATAATATGATGATAATAATAAGATAAGATAAAATGAACGTCCATTGAGTGTGGGTGTATGTGCGTGTGTATGTGTATGAGTGTGTGTGTCAGTGTGTCAGTGTGTGTGTGTGTGTATGTGTGTGTGTTTGTGTGTGTGTGTGTGTGTGTGTGTGTGTGTGTGTGTGTGTGTGTGTGCGTGCGTGCGTGCGTGCGTGCGCGTGCGTCCGATTTCTTCTTTCTTATGAGCAAAATATTTTTAAAAATCACAATTATTGTCTTGTACTCTTAGATTTATGTAAAACGCTGTGAGCTGTGTGTACACGCTAGAGAAATTATCTTCATTAATGTTATTATACATTACAAGAGCAGTAATTATAAGGAAATAAAATATAATTTTATTTATTTAAGCACACAACCCTACTCTGCTGATGCAAGCAAATTATGTGAGTTCGATTTCCACTTGAGGAAGTACATTTTTTCGAGCTTTTGATGGGGCACTGTGCCCCACTTAGCTTGGTTGAGCTCTGACAGACAGGATGGACGCTCCATGCCAGTGAGCACGTGCAGTCTGAGACTATGCTTGAAGACATGCTGTTTTGGGAGACACTGTAAAAGCTATTTTGGGTACATTTTCAGAGGTGTTTGAAGACATTTGGGGACACTATAAGCGCTATTCGGGGGTGGGGTGGGGGTGGGGGGGAGGGGTAATATAAAAGCTGTTTTGGGACTGTAAGAACTATATTGGGGACACTTTAAAAGCTGTTTTGGGGACACTTTAAACGCTGTTTTGGGGACACAATAGGCTCCGTTTTTTGGAAACACATTAAGAGCTGTTCGGGACGGGATGGGGGTAATTTAAAAGCTATTTTGGGGACACTATACGCCCTATTTTCGGACACATTAAAAAAGAAGTATAACTTCATCAATCAATCAGATTTCTCAACTCCGTTTCCCTTTGTGTAAAATTTTAAAAGGCAGGCAATAATATGCATACTATGAAGTGTGAAAATTCGTGTTTCTTATGCGTTGGTGGTCTAGTGGTTAGGCTACCGGACTCGTAATCGTGAGGTTGCGAGTAAGGGGTTCCAGCCTCAGCCCTGACCTTGTGTCTATGGGAAAGGCGCTTTACACGAATCTTCCTCACTGTACACAGGCGTGAATGGTTACCCGGCCATAGACCGCAAACGATCTTGTCAGTATGTCAGTGTTTTAGCGCCTGTAAAATGGCAGCTTGCTCTAGGCCTATTCAGGAAATTGAGATTGTTTCAGAATGCTATCTGATACTGTATACATATAGATCTAGCTTGCAGAGTTTACAGAGCTTACTATTGAGCGAGAGCGTTATACAAATACTGTTTATTATTATTATTATTATTATTATTATTATTATTATTATTATTATTATTATTATTATTATTATTATTATTATTATTATTATTATTATTATTATTATTATATATGCAAATTTGTGCTTCTGATGCAAACTTTGAAATGTGTGAATTCGTGTTTCAGGTTTGTGTATGATGGTAGTCTTTCCTCTGCTTCTCGGACATTCTGTGTTTGCCATATTCCTAAAGTGTGAAAACAATCATTCATTTCAGCTGAGCGTGAATCATTAAACTATTACATCTGGGCTGGATAGTAGCCGCTTCTACGCACTTAACAGTCTGTAATAATATTTTTTTTCCAACGAAATCCTCCTTGACCACTTGATATGCTATAACGTTGATCTCCTCCCATAATGCGTCCTAGAATATGTGAGGCATTGTGGTGAAACCAAACGCTCGTCAAAATAAGGAAATCGAAGATAACAGGGTTTTCCCACTGGTTTGTCAATTTTCATCGAATTTCCGTTATTTGGCTCAACACCCTTTTGTCCATTTAATAGCACATTTCTAAGTGGATTTTACAAAAAACAAAAACAAAACACGTTGATTAGAGGCACACAAAAAGTCAATTTTCAGTTAACAGAGACACTCAAGCTATTGAAGTCACTAAAGTTCTGCTGCCCTTTTCTCGCTTATTTGACTGTTGAAACCAGACGACGTCACCTCCTTTAATTGCAAATATCTCGACTTCTATTCAAGATTTGGGTATTTCTTTAATCGAAAGGTAGACAAACGAACAAAGATTAAGATGATTCCAATAACCCCATACGCCGAAAAAATGACGTCGAGCGCCTGATTCCACCGCGTACTGACACATAAATTAAAATAGTAAAACATAGCCTTCAGCTTCAGCTGCCATTCCTTACCCAGAAGCGTACCCGATACTCCCGGAAAAAAGGTAGGGATGTAAATATGCAGTAGACCGTAAACATAATTTTCGGACAGGATATTGCTTATCTCATCATTGGGACTGAAAGCCCTATATAAACTGACAAGATCTATCGATTTGCTTTGGGTCGGTTAATGTAAAACGACTCTGGAGTTGAATATTCGAAAATAACCAAACTTCAGTAGGAGTTTTGTTTGTCTTTGGCTTACGGTGTATATCGCGTTGTTTTCGAGTGCCCCTTTCCTATCCAACTGAATTAAAAATAATAATTACGATTAAATAAGTTTCAATCTTGGAATATTCGTTTCATTTGCGATGTCCGCCATGCCTTCATTTTTACACTTTATATTGAATACTTCCATTTCTTTTCGTCTCGTCATCCCAAGTGTTGGTGTACATAGTCTCATCTTGTTTCCAGTACAAGTTCGTTCCTTTCTTTCAAATATCTGAACTAAAAAAAACCCACCCTAACAATTACTCTGCCATCTACATCAAAAGTGCTGCTTACTGCTGTTTTCTGCTGCTCCCTCGGCTCGCTCATGCTCGTTGTGGCTCGCTGCGGCTCGCTCGTGCTCGCTGATGCTGATGATGATGCTGATGATGATGCTACTACAACTACTGTTGTTGCTTTTGTGACTCCTATTGATTGTCTTTCTGCTGCTGTTTCTGTTGCTGCTGTTGCTGCTGTTGCTGCTGTTGCTGCTGTTGCTGCTGTTGCTGCTATTCTTGTTGTTGTTCCCGCCGTTGCTGATGTTGTTACTTTTGCTTCTATTCTCGCTGCTGCTGTTGTAGTCACTTTTGCTGCTGTAGCTGTTGTTACTGTTGTTGCCACTACTACTGTTTCTACTGCTACCATTGCTGCTACTGCTGCTGCTGCTGCTGCTACTGCTGCTGCTGCTGCTGCTGCTGCTAATATAGGTCCCACTGAGGTGGTATGTCTTGTTCTTTTTTTCATTCCTCTTCAGTTCAATGCAGAGTTGGCCATGGGGCTGTTTACGTTGTTCACTGTGGGCGCATTTTCATTCTTAGTATTCGTATCTGCTTCTCCATACAAGGTAAGAGACATTTTAAATTTAATTCCTTAAAGACGTAGCAAACACATACTACTATGTCCGATTGGCAACAGACCACAAAAGAAATGTTTGGGTACTGTACACTTAAAACCATCCTGTAACTATAAGAAACACGATTTTGCATTTATTATGGTATGCATAGTGTAAGTTGTTGCCCGTCTTTTAAAGTTTCATATAAATAAAACGGAACTGAAATCTAAATCTATGTGAATAACAAAATATAGCTTGTCTTCAAGCGTTGTTAGATGAGCGCAATGCACGTCCTCATTCAACGAGTTAACGTTGCGAGTACATTCGGTAGTTCTGCAGTGTCCCAAACTTTAATAAAGACAACCTCAAAATAAACAAACTACCAAAAAATAAAAACCAACAATAGAAACCTAACCCCCCCCCAAAAAAAAACAAAAAAAACAACAACAACAACAACCCAACAACCGCCTAACCAAACAACCCCAGCCCCTAAAAAGTCAATTGATAAGTAAATAAATACATAAATAAATACATAAATATATAAATAAATAAATAAATAAATAAATAAATAAATAAATAAATAAATGAATAAATAAGATCACAGCGTAAGGACTGAAAGACACTATTGGTTCGGTTAACTCTCTTAAAAATACGTTTTGACTAACCATAACTAAATTTGCTGATGACATAATTTTCATGTTCTGAACATACATATTTTATTATAGAGCTTGTCTCCTCGCGTCGCGCGTGGTCCTTGCCGCTCTAAAATCAATCAAGTAAGGTCATAAAGAAACTGTCTACTTAAACGCGACGCGACTTCTAGTCACACGCGACCGTCGCCTGCGATCGGTCCATATCATAGCGATCGACGGTCTCGTCGGGTGTGACAGGTTTGGAGCATTCCCATTTGTCAAAATACCTAGCCACGGTGTGGTGTGTTTGTGTGTGTGTGTGTGTGTGTGTGTGTGTGTGTGTGTGTGTGTGTGTGTGTGTATGTGTGTGCTGTGTGTGTGTGTATGTGTGTGTGTGTAGATGTGTGTGTTGTGTATGTGTATGTGTGTGGGACGTTCATCTTCAATACGATCCAATGCAAGTTTTGTGAATCTAACTTTTCTGTGTTTTTTTTAAACGGACAGCAAGAAGAAAACGAGGAGGAGGAGGAGGAGAAGGAGGAGGAGGGGGAGGAGGAGGAGGAGGAGGACTTGCACGGGATTGGCCATGTACGGAATAAAGAATGTCAGCGGGTCATAGAACTCCCATCTCACGGACTTTGTACCTCCTTGTTCATCTTGACATTAATATGTGCCATTGTTCCTCTTCTGTGAATTGCCAGTCGCGCACGGGCCTAACCAGTGGCGCGGCTAAACGTCGCGTCGCGCATATAGAGACAGTTTTGTCGCTTTCGTCGCGTTTGTCTCACGCGGCTGAAAATTTTGGCTCGATGTGGTCGCGCATAAGGATATGCACCTTACGACTCATCACTAGCGACTGTTGCACGTGACTAAATGTCGCGTCGTGCATAAGGTGACATAATATGCATAATGATTGAGGACAACAGAAGTAGAGGTAAAGACTAGATACACATGCATTTCGTTCACGCTTGAATAATTTATTCCAGTACTCTTCAACTTTAAGGGACGAAATAGACCAATATTATTTATCTTTGTCTCGAGTTTCACAAAGAGGTATAAAAGCTACTGTTGCTTCGTTTTGCACAAGGACATTGCACGGTTGTCATAATTTATACGGGTCTATGACGTTTCGCCGCAAATGACGCAATAGGAGACTACCTGGCCGAAGTCTGAAAATCTTTTCTCAGCAAATTGTTTTCGAATACAGAGGATAGAAGAACGATTATTTTGTTAACGCATCTGAAACAAAATGTATACGCGCCTAACGTGTTAATGCGAACTTGAGAGGACTACATTAATTATGAAGCATACTGTTTTCCATGGGCAACATTTCCACCAAGGCTATGGACTCGTCAAGAAATCTGTTCCTGAACTACCAACTGTTGTGAAAATATTCGGTTCTTTTGGCCATAACCTGCAACTAACGAATTTGTAACTGAACACAATAAATTACAAACAAACAGCCCCTTTCACGCCAGTGGAACTTACGAAGAGAAAGTGATTGGCAGATACAATCGAGAGATACATTACAGGGCAAATCGACATCGATAAATACGTCAAGTTCATGAGCTTCAAGCTTTTTTAACTGCTTTTGTTTTTTTACCACGATATTGTACCTGAGGCATCACATGTTTATCTTCATTGTCATGTCATTACATAAACCCATCCTGCTCAAAGTCTTATTCCCCACCTCACCGCTGGTGAGCTGGGGTAAAATCGCAAGGTACTTAATGAATTGTAGATCTATTCGAATTCAATTTGCGGCGAAACAGTCATTCTTATTTTCCACGGGCAAACGCCGTGACGTCATTACGTGCGAAACGTCGAACCTCCCTTTATACCGACTCTTGTTACTAGAAGTTCCCTGACTCTTGTTACTTTGTAGCAGTGTTTGCCAACCTACGAGGAGTGTGGTAAAACATTCGTGGAGCAATTTATTGTCAAATATCTCCTCAACTATCGAACATACACTCTCCAGCTTTTGCACAGTGACTGGTATCAATTTGTCTCAACTGATCAACATTTATGTAAACACCTGTTAGTTCTATTCTAGAAAATTCCTTAATAAATACTAATAAAATATCCTAGTGGGTGGTTTCTACAGATTAAAAAAAGTTTACAGTTGGGACAATATCGCTTTTAAAAGCAAGTCTGTTATTTGTTTCTAATTGCGAGGTCATGTTTATATTGAACATTGAAATTATCTTTTGAGAACTTTAAGTGTAAAAAAGTTTTCACCATAGAATTAATTTCTTGTAACTAGTTTTGCCTCTAAAAAGAGTCATATTGGAAAGCTGTGGCGTATGCCATATGCGTACGCAAAATTGTGCGAGAAGCGGGAAGTGCTCTGAACAATTTCATTTTCCGCTTGAAGGAAATTTGTAATATTATAATAATATACATTTAGGCAGAAATGTTTTTCTAATCTCGACTCAATTGTTGAGAAAAAATATGATAAAGTTAAGACAAATTGATACAAACTGCTCTACAAAGTATGGGAGACAATGAGTTACCCGATAAAAAGATATTTGAAGATAAGTTGTGCCACGAATTTTTGACCGCACTATAGGCGATATCGCCCATTGGTATGAGGTTCGGTAATTTTGGTGGGCGGTGGGGATCACCCGAATATTAGCAAGTATTATCAAAATACCCTGCTTGAAAATAAAAGTAGGTGGGGGTACAAGGATGTGTCCTCTTAAACGTGGCCAAAGTGGGTGCTGGCAACAAAAAAATTGACAATAACTGCTCTTTAGTTATAAAAGTTGCAGCTGAAAATGACTCTTCACTGTGCAGTTTTTGTGAGTATTTGATTCTGGCCGTACCCTCAGGAATCGCTCAAAGCAGCTATCAAAAATGGTACTTTGGTGGAGAAGGAAGGAGAAGTGCAGGAATACATCATGTCATGGGAAGAGGCGGTCATAGAGGAGGCAGAGGAAAGGAAGGCAGCGATGGCGAGAGGTTCGTTGTACAGCTTCGTACCCGATCGTCACTCAAGACCCCGGGAAAATATGGTGAGAGTTGTTCAAAACTTTAAGAGAAAGATACACGTATTTCCCTCTAGGTAGCGACTTTTATTGTTGTTGATTTTGAAAAAATAATATACTTGCATTTGAAAGTATGTGGTTCAAATCCAAGTGGACTCTGGAGTTCAAGTTGCAGAGGGGTTGATAATCTTATTGTAAATCCAATATTATTATTCTTTCACCCTTCCCCCCCCCCTTCCCACAACTCTGTATCCCTTAAACGGCCGAGTGATCCATTCTCAAAAGATCTTCTATTGAGCTAAGTAGAACACTAAACTTCACCGAAAAATTCCATCCCACCTATCACGAGGAGAAAACCAGCCATGATATACGTTGCTCCAAAAGTGTTTCTGAGTGTTCTAGAGTCTTGTTTTAGTAGATGTTTTACTCTGCTCACCTCTCTAGCTTCAACAGCACAAAGTCTACTTCGACCATCAAGGCACCCCAGAAATAGCGGGTCACAACTGTGTGATAAACATACAAAAGAAGTTGAGGAAAATGACGAGAGTAAGGATTAGGAAAGAAAAAGCAGCAGTTCCCTGTTGTATATCAGGCACAGTTATGAGCGTGATATTGATGAATCAGCCCATTTACAATTCTACTATACATGAACGAGAAATGCCCCCCCCTCCCCCCCCCCCCCCCCCGCTTTGGGAATGGCCTAAAGACACTTCAGTCAGTGGCACCGCCCAGGGGGGGGGGGGGGTATTTGTAGAGTCTACTGGGGTAATTATGATATAGACTGTAAAATGCACTGAGCTTCCTGTGGAGCGGGGACAAGTGCTAGGCAGATGCTATTAATCATTACTATCATTAAATAGTAGTGAAATTAAAATAAAGTGATGCATAAGAATTTATTTTAAAAAACGTTTCATTAATAATATCCTATTCCAGAAAGCTCTTAAAGGACGCTTGACCGAGGCAGGGCTGTCTTTTAAAGAGATGGCAGATCTGTTCATGACCACCGGTGATACGTGTGAGTAAGATTGAAAGACAAAGAAAAACAAGACTACATTGTGTGTCATTTTGAGAATATTTTCTAGAAATAGGTCTAACAGGCAGAGACCAGTTTGTTTCACAATTGCGTTTTTCGTACATGTGTATAAAAGAAACAAAAACAGCAACAATCATTCACACACTCATATACATGTATCAGGTGACCCTAAAGGAACCTTTACCCACTGATACACCCATAAAATAGGTTAAAATAAAGATAGAAATACAGATTTCCCAAACGCTCTTGGTCACCATCCGGATTTATTGTGACAAATTTACAAATAAAAATTCCAAGTTTTTAGTTTTAGTTGAGGTTTTTATGGTTATCGCAACTGCATAATTCCAAGTTTGAAGGGAGTTAGAGCACATTATGCTCCATGTGACGTTAGTTTTGGGCGATACACGCGAGCTTGACGAAACTGTCTATTACATTTTCCATTTGCTCAGCCTTCGATGTACCTAGATCCTGTACGGTACTTCAGATCCTACTTCAAAATGCGCCTAACAGATTCTCTTACAATAGTTGATTCAATACCATAACAACGAACTGACTTTTTAGGTTCTCCGCTCACAGACTCCATCGCAAAGCTCTACTGCCGCATTCTCAGGAGTGCGCAGTTGCATAGGTATCCTCACTGTGGGTGACTCTAGTTTTTTATCTCTTGTTTTTATTGTCAGCAGAGCCATGTAACTTGAAGTCAGCCACCCACTTTTAAGTATTCTTACTTTACTTGTTATTTCCGTACGGTCTTTGGTGTTAACCCCAAACCGTTAACATAAGAGATTCCGTGTCTGCATATGGGACTTTGTTTTGATACATGTTTACTTACTTTACTTTTACTTTTTCATCCTCTGTTGCCCGTAAAGCGTCGAGGGGAGATGCAATTTTCTATGGTAAGCCAGCTCCGCGGCTCTTTCAGTTGTGATGTTATGTTTTCTTAGGGTTTCCTTGACACCCTCGATCCACCTTTTGTGTGGCCTTCCTCTTCCTTTATAGCCTGAGTGCTTGGTGTTGTAGGCTCTCAAGGCTGGCTGGTCAGGTGACATGCGTAACAGGTGGCCAAACCATTATATCTTGTCTTTCTATGTAACGCAGGCAGGACTCAGTGCCGATAGCTGCTCTTACTTCTTTATTTCTCTGCCTGTCTCGGCTTGTGATGTTAAGGGTTTTGCGGAGACATTTCATTTCGCATGCGGTGATTTTGCTTTCATGGGTTTTGCTTAAGGTCCAGGTCTGGCACTGATGACATAATGTTGGTATGAATATTGAGGTGATCAGTTGTCTCTTTGTGTCCATGGAGATGTTTGGAT